ATTTAGCAGAGGTTTTCTGGATTGTCTTTGTTACCTATCTGTATACAAGTGTTACAGTTAAATCTTGAAGTTTTGGATCCCACTCTGGGTCACAGGGACCTACATATTAAGACACTTAACTACAAGCACTTAACTTGCAGGCATTTAAGACCTTTGTTTGGTTACTCTGTTCCTTAAATATATACCACAACCCTCAATTCAGGAACATATTCAGTTTTAAAATTTAAGTAAGAACTTAAGTCCAACAGAAGTCAATGTGACAGACACATTCCTAAATATTTTCTTAAACAGGGAAATAACCTAACATAGCTTAACATAGGTCTTCCCTTTTTAATAGGTATAGAACAGAGAGGGGAACTTCTGAACTACTGTTAGAGCCCAGAGGTATTATGCAAACCGTTGTTTTAAAAAAAAAAAAACCCAAAAACTCTTAACATTTGTGAAGGTCTCCCTTTCAGGAGAAAAGCCTAGCAACTAGCATTTAGATAACTCCGAATCTGCAAAACAACCAACCGGATACCCCCCATTTGCACAAGTAAACTTATGAACGGATGAGCTGAAATCACAGAACATCAACAAACGCTAACTGAATTCAACAACTGCTTGTTCTGGATTAAAAGATTTACTGCAAGACAGACACATTACAACTAAACTCATTCAGAAAGATGAAAGTAATGACACACCATGTCCTAAAAGATGAAGGGGAAGAGGGAATTACAAGCCTCCTCAATTAGACAGACATACCTAGTAGCTCATTTTATCCACTCTTACTCAAAGCAGAGTTTTTGCCTCCTTTGTATTATTCTGTCTAGTCTAGCTTATTGAATCTATACTAGATTTAGTAAAAAGCCTTCAAAATCTGAATTATTTCTGAATTTTGAAAACATCTCAGTAATCATATTTGTATGTACCAGTATTAATACTATCACACGCTAGTTTGGAAATTGCAATGTCTCCTCTATTACAGATTCTAATTAACTGCATAATCCTACAATGATGATAAAGCTTATTAAAGAAAAGAACGTTAATAATAACCAAAAGCCTTTGTCATGTTTTCATTAACAATACTATATGTGCACAATACTTATTACAGATTTCTCTTAATCTGTAAACACTAATATGTGTTTACAGAATATCCATTCTGTTAGGCTGGCATATTTGCAGAACCCTTGCTACCAACAGGAAGAACCATATGAAGAGGCATAATTGGCTGCACTGACCTCCCCAACCCTCGGGCTACTGAAGGCCAAGTGCATCACTGAAATCATGCTCTCAGTCTCCAAGAGACTCTGTTGGCTGTACTATTTTTGTTGCACCCCCTGCCAATTAATCCCTCAAATGGCACTAGTGCAGACTTGCCTGCTCTCTTAGCCAGCATTACAGTTCTTGTGACTGCAGCCAGAAACAAACTGGGAGGACAGCAAAAAGGAGAGAGGGCAACAAAAACAAAAGCAACATGAATTAAAACTAACTTGCAGATTTTTTTCCTCCTTACAAATAAAACCAGGTAATTGAAAAGCAAATTGTTTCCCAATGACTGTCGTTTCTCACATTTCTAATAACAACCTAAATATTTTAAAACAAATCCACATCAGACATACGAAAAAAACCCCATTGTTAGCTGTCAAAATTCCCACCCTTGTAGCCCTAAAAACTTCAGAATAAACTTACGGCTGGCTAGCGAGGGTATTAAGTTCTTACCTTATCTTTTGTTAAAGGGTGTTTCTTGACAATTTTCTGTTGATTATTCAGGGTAGTGACAGAAGAACAGTTATACTGACCAAGATCTGCTTCTTGTACGCTTTTACCTTTACTTGTCCTTCCCAAAGGCACAGGTTTTGCAACCTAAGAAACCAGACAGTGTGATTTAGGAAATTAATTATACAAACCTTTTGTTCCTTTGCAACTTACTGAAAAGAGGAACGTAGGGTTTTTTCTTTAATTCAGAAAATATTGATCTACATAAATCCAATTAGCTAGCCCCTGACTTGTGATACAAGGCTGCTTTGAATTTTACCTATCATAAAACACACTGTCAACATCTTGAAGGATCCACTGAGAGCCACAAGAAACTGGAGTAATACAAAGTTTCTGTACAGAACATATACTTAATAACCTATTCTAGCATTGTATAAGCATCTATGTAGCTATATGAGATGTGGATTTACCAAAGGGGACAGAGTTCCCATGAGTCAGTGCTGGTGCAGCCTACCACCTTGTGACACAACGAAGGAGCTGCTGTGCATCCCCTATCACGTTAACGGCAGCAGCATATCTAGACTATAGAGCAAAGAGAGACAACCACAGAGAGATACATTCTGGAAGAAGTGCTGTGATAGTTAAGAGCCAGCAGGCATTTCTCTCAAACAAAACCCTCGAGTTCCCATGCGACTCAGGAAGCACTGGGATCCAGAAACTCAAAAATGTGCTTAAAGATTCAATTCCCACAGCTATCTACTCCATGCAGCAACAAAGATGAAAAACCTCCTACAAACAAAACTGGTGTCTGGAGACTACTACACTTATACAGGATACATTAAATACTCCTTCTTAAACGTAAGGGAATTTACCCAAGGTGGGGAAAGAACCACTGCCACTCCACTCCCAAATTAAATCCCCAAACCCCACGAGAACAGAGCGTACACCTTAAAAGGAATACAGTTCCTCTGCAGCTAATGGAGACATTCTGTGAACTATTTATGCTAAAAACACAAAATATTCAAATGTTACCAGTTTTTACACCATCTCATCCCTTAGGTACCCTTCAGTCCTAAGTGAATCTAATAGCATTTAAAACATTACAGCTCATTTCTCTAGATGCAAACCAATAAGTTAGAATCTAATATTCTGAAGGACCTTTAAAAAAAAACTTCATAATCATTCTATTCGTACATGCACACGCTAAAAATACTGTTAGATTAAATTCATCTCAGACCTACCTATACTGTAATTAACTGTGGTGACTTGTTCCAGGTTTAGTCAAATTTAGAAACATATGCACTTACTGCATCGTATGTCTATATATATGAACATCATATAACGAACAGACAGTATGACAGCGCATATATTTAGGGACAGGCATACATTTTTAGGCTCAAAATCAAAACTGTGTGTATATACATCCAGAAACACGCATTTTCATAAAGGTATGTAAAAACAGACCACTAGAAAGTGTAGTCATTCATTAGGTATTCTGTTTCTTACCCTCTCCTCTATTATAGGAAGTGAAAGATCAATGAAAGGTTCTTTTACTGTGGAAATCTTGAAAAAAAAAAAGAAAAAATTTATATTAAATACATAGAACTATATATGGGATTAGTGTGTAGCTTTCATTTTTTTTAATTATTATCAAAGACCATACAACACACTAATTAGTTACAAGATGTATCATATTACAATGAAGAACTTCCCACAAACATTTTTTCTAGTTTTAATTTTAGTTCTGATTTTCTTCCACTTCAGTAGTCAGGGGAGAACACTGCACCAAAAATTTCAGCACACAGGAATAATGGGCCGGGCCATTCATCTAGGCAGAGAGTCAAACTGGACCTAGAAGCACTGGTTTACAGTTTCTCTGCGCTCCAAGCACATTTTCAAAGTCACGTGGGGCTTGCAGATGGGTCACAACTTTTTGGACAGCAAATCTAGTGGAATTATGTAGAAAACTAACTTTTAAAGTCTCCTGATCCTGGACGTTTCTGTGCAGGGTTTGACCTTGTGTGATGCTAAGTGATAAGACTGGTCAACGACAGTTAGATGACAACAGTTCTAACCTGGTATTTCCCAGGAAAGATTAAGTCAGGCTTATTGGTTATAGCCAAAAGTTTTACTATAAATTTTCACACCATAACAATTTTTAAAATAAATACCTTTTTTTTTATTCTACAGTTTAATTCTGTCTTCTATACAGCACATAAAATCTATGCTGAAACTAGAAATATCGGGTAAATCATACGTAAAGACATTCTCTCACAGCACTTTCCACCTGCCTTTATGGCTAGAATATCCTGTTCAACCCTGTTTCTTAAACTCTCTCCCCTGCCATTCTGAAATTCCTTCCAAAACTGACTTATCTTATCTGTGAAAGGATTGTGAAAAACAAGGCTTAAAAAGAAAAAAAAAAAACATGTTGTGCACATAACTTACTGAACACAATCATGCCAACAATTACTGTCATTGTTGCACTTCTACTTAGGACCCTGTCTTCCACCTATGACATTTGATTTGGACTGTAGGCTCCTCTTAGCAAAAAGCTTATGTTTACCTGTTATGCGAGCGACCTGCATGGTTTAGGTTCTAGTGAAACAATAAATTAGATTAAAACTATCCTAACTATGTTGATTCACTGACCAGCAATGTTCAAACTGGGGTTCCTCTAGACCGTGAGTATGTGTGAACAAACACTAGCCAAAAATATCTTTGCCAAGGCAGGCAAAGGAAGGTGAATGATAAACTTGTCCTAACATGGCTACTGCTAGCAAAGTCCTGAGTCCAGTGCAGGCAGAATATAGGAATCAAGCTAAAAAAAAATGAGATGCACATAGTACATACAATCTCTATTTTGGATATAGTTGAAGTTCTTCATTGATTCTAGTAGCACACTGAAATATAATCTGGACATCACACACAGGAAAGTTTACCTGGCGCTGCAGAACTGTGCTTAATTACTCAGACTGATTGGTTTACTTAATCTCTATAACATGAAATATAATGTTTTAAACCAAACAGAAATGGAACATTCAATTAAAAAGAATCATGCAAACAAGCTTTTTCTCTTCCAAAGTTAAAGAAAATTATAAGGATCATGGAAAAGATTTATGATGAAATACCAGTATTATTAATTATGAAAGGAATATGTTGTTCATTAGAGATATTAAGTTAATTCTCAAAAGTCCTTCAAGAAGGAAAAAAAAAAGAGATTTTAGCATTTCCCCACTCCTACTAATTCAAAATAAGTATTTCCCAAATTTTAGGTATATCCCAGAACAGCATGCTGGAGGATTCATGTTTTAAGATAGGTGTTAAAAAAACCATAAAATTTTGCCAATTATAGACATTTATAGAATTATAGAATTTAGAACCTCCAGCCTTAAATTAGTTAGATGTAAAATCAAACCCAAAATTTAAATCTTTTTTTAAATTCACATGACCCCTCTTCCTAGGTTTGCAGAGGATAACGCTTTAAAGAAAGAAAAAGTCATTTTAAATGAGAAACTTTCAATAAAGTCTTTTTTAAACAAACAAACAAGCAAGCAAGTATAAAATCAGCAATACAATTTTATACTTTCAAGACAACATAATGAAACCAGTATGTGATCTATTCCACATCAAACCAAATTCCAAAATACCTACATTTTCACATTCCTCACACATGACAGTGCTAGTCAATTCACCAACAAAGATCCTATCTATGAAGTTCATCTTCACACCCTCTCTTCCATATGCTGAAAAAACATTGCCTTTTTTAAATGTAAAAAAACAGATCCAATGCCACGCTATAAGTACAAAATTCTTTCTAAGTCATTGTGAAAGTACAATATTTAAGCATATTCAAAACTTTTTCAACACAATTCAATAACTAATATATCATATACTGTTATCTTAACATTTAATAATATTTTAGTTATTCAGTGATGCAATTTCCTTTTATCCTTCCCTTCCCCATCTACTGTAAACAGCATAATAATGCATCTCTCAAGGAGAGGCGTTTTAAGTATATTCAGTATTAAAAAGAAAATCAAGATTTTGAGTTATCAGTCTTATAACATTTTATTGCCTCAAAGTAGATGCTAAGATAGCAAACTGGCTGTCACATTTTCTAAATGGTTTTTGAAACTATAAAACCCAAAAGAATGAGAAAAAAGCTTGTTCTAATATGTCTCTATGCACTAACTCTTGCAGACGTGAGAAGGGGCACATCTTCACGTATCGAAGCACTGAGATTTTTAAAGTAACTATTGAGGTTTTAAAGTATTAAGATTTTAATTAAAACAAAATTAGAACTGTTTTATATACACAAAAGAAAACAACTGAAATTTAATCAAAAATTCTTGTTTTGAAAAACAGGCCTTGTTATCAGAAAGCTTCATATCTTTGGCTTTGCAATCATATTTGGAACTCCCAGAGAGAGTATCAGTGAACTAACCAAAATTCAGTGTTGTTTATTGAAAGTGGCCTCTCTGAGTGATACAATAATTGTAGCTATACTACAAACCTGAAGTTGCAGCAGAATATTTTAGAAAACAAAATTAAACTCTATATATCATTACAAGAGGCATTATGAATATAGGAGAAGCTCTTACTCTGGATACCAACACATACTAAGCTTTCTATACTTTGGATAAGCACTAGATGGCACTAGAATAATATATAATAAAAGTCCTGTTAACGCTGTCTGCAGTACTTTAGGATTGCCATTTACAACAGTTTTGAAGAAAACAGTATCTGAGAACTTGGCATTGTTAAAAGTGATTCAGTAAAGAGTTACGTACCTTTGACTTTTCGTCTAGTTTCTTCATCGGCTGTCTTAGTAGTTGGATTATTAAAGGCTTTTAAGATACCAGTTTGTATACGCTACGATAAAAGCCACAAGCATTTAGTAAGTACTTTAAGTGGGAGATAAACATTCTAAAAACTACTAATATATGATTAGATTTTCTATGCTCTTATTTCCGTGAGAGAAGCACTGTTAAAACTGCTGGTTTTACTCGCTTACTACTGTCAAAGCTACACGAGCCACTTCAGTAAGCAACCATCCAAAAATTTCTTCCCCATAAAAAGGAAGCAATTGCAGTCAAGAAAGTAGGAGGAGATTTTCAGCGCACAAACGCTTTTCTCTTCTTCCACTGCTAGAAAAGGAACGTACTGACAGAAAAACGGACTGTTACGGACTGACTGGGATTACAAAATGTTCAAAGGCAGTTAAGTATCTTCTAATAGCCAGACTTCAATGATCATATTTAGAGAGTTCTTTTATTGCTCTTATCTATTTTCTAACACTGCACACACTCTAAGTTATATCAGGATACCTTAAGAGAGAGACAAAACTTTTTATGAATCCCTCTAAACATTTCCTCAAAAATCCTAAAGAACGTATTTTGAAAGAATTACAAAGAAACCAATTCATACACATATGCACCCCTGAGCAGCAGGGCTTTCCCCTCTTACCTCTCAGTTGCAGCTGTGATAAGGGGATACTGTGTTATGCAGATGCCTGCACTGGTAACAGAATTGCATGCACTGGCACATTACATACCCCAGCCCATTTCCTGGCAGACTATGAGGACTGAAACAAGAGTGTGTTGCCAGCCACACTGCTGGAGGACGCTGCAGCCCGCCTGAGCCGCGCTCTCCTTCTTCCTGGTAAAAGTACTTGCTCTCCAATTCACCAACTCTAATAGCATGTACCGGGTCTCTCCCATGTAGGTGCGCAAATGAAATTTTTTGTTAAATATGATACTGAAGTCACAGTTAGAGCAATGTACCGTTCTAGAAATGAAGTGTGATACAAAACCTTCTTTACATAGCTCACAGCCTGTGTACTAACAGCAGAAACCGGTAACTTTTATTTGCAGACAGCAGAGTACGCTTTCAAAACATGAACAAAATGTTGTGAGGAGACATTGCTTTGGAGGTTTGCTTTCCAGCTCAGCCAACCATCAGACCAAGTCACACTCCTACCTCGGGAGTATTGTGACCTGGCTTGCGAATTAACTCCCGCTGCCCCAAGCTCAGCTTTGTTCATCTTGAAGCCAACAATATACTAAAAGGACTAATCAATAGGTAATTCACCAAGTTGAACACCATAAATGGGTTCAGGGCCATAAGCAAGCCTTTTGTTGGGATTAGCGCGTTGAACCATTTATTTAGGTCAAAGAAAGACATAGTCTTTGAATGGTCAGGGTGCCGCTAACAATGGCAGCAGACATTAATCAATTAGCAGCAGGGTTCAGCTACTTCGGGCCCTGGTGTGAAACAATCTCCAGCCCACATCGCTGGAAACCGCAGACAGTGTGTAATTTTGATCGTAGCATCGACAACCTTTTATCTTAAAAATCCACTTGCGTCCATACACACTTTTTTTTTTTTTTCCCTGTGGTGCTATCAAAAAGGTCACCGCTGCTTTCGGAAAGCCGTCTTGTAAGATGGAAGTACGCAGGTAAGAGGCATGGTGGAACGTGATTTTTGCTAGTTTATATAACTTCCTGTAACTAATGTAACGTTATGTATTATGCATATTTCTTTGGTCAAAACTCTCCTGGTTTAGGAAAAAAAAGAAAATCCAGGTAGGGATCCTGAAACGGCCACTTTGCTGTTCAGCTGAACAGCAGATCCCTCACAGGTACGTGCTAAAGCAGCTGGCTGCAATTTTAGCAGGGCTGTTACCTAAACTTTATACGCTCAAAAGCGAGCACATTTAAAAGCAGCGTGAAAGGGAAAGGTTAGTGGCTGTAATCATTTCTAAAGGATTCTGGTGGCAGACATATTGCTGTAGGCTTTCCTCAATCGGCGCCCACATGGTAGCGACACCGCGCAACAATAGCGCGATTAACAGCTGTGGGCTTCCCAGGCCACACAATGCCCGCGCCGCTTGTATCCGCCTGGCGCGACTGTCACTGCTCACCACGCTGAATAGATCACAGATCTGACATTCGCCGTTTGTCACACCATCCACGGACCCGAAAACCGGGATGGGAAAAAAAAAAAAAAAAAGAAGACAGAGAGCTTTTACTAGTAATGTCCCTTGCTGAGCAGCCCGAGGTGACAAAGTCACTGTTTGTAGTAATGCACCATTACGACAAAACAGGGGTATAATTGCAGCAAAGGGTGGGATCAGCCTTTATTTGCCCGATGCTGCGGGTTGCAGAAATACCGTACTGCTTAAAATAGAGTTTAAAATTCTCAATATACTCCACTGCTCTTTTATGGTAGCAACAGCAGCTAGCACTTCACTCTAATAAAACTTCACGAAACACAGGTTATCATAATGGCAGCACACTCACTGATGAAACAGGAGATTGATTTGGGGGGGAAAGAGCAATCAATCACTGGGGAAGAAGCTTATTTGTTGTAATAATGCTGCTTTTGGTGAGCCCTCAATTGTGAGGCAAATACAGTTTCCACCTTTTATTATATGAAAATCAATGAAGAACAAAATCAGCTTTCCCTCTATTGCAAAAACGTGACAACTTTTTGGTTAAAAAGAGAAAGAAGCTGTAGTCAGCTGCTTCTGTTACCTGCCCAGTTCATCACGGAATTTTATAAGCGTGACAATGTCGAGATTTAGCACGTTCTCTCTGTAGTTCACTTCTGTTCACGATTCAGTATACTGCTGCCAGGGACAACATTTTAAATATTCTGGTAGGATGAGATTTAGTTCAGTGTTACTCTAGTGTCAGGAACTGGACTTAGATACAGCTTTGTATCTTACCTCCATGACAGTTCAACTTAGGTTCATTACACTTATTATATCATCAAATCACATGAAAGTGGAAGTACACTGGACAGCTGATGTTTAAGCACCTCTTTTTGACTAGTCTTGGAAAAGGCTATTTACAAAAATGGCATCTGAAAAAAGGGTTCAAAGACAGGCAGATGAAAACTAACAAATCAAATTAGTTAAAAGAGGTAAAACAAGCAAAAAATCACTCCCTTGTATTCAACAATACAGGAGGCAGAAATAACAAAGGAAAAAGAAATACAAAAAGAAACACTGGCACATTTCCAATATATTATAACTTATTATTTACTAAGCATATTTAGATGTAGATTTTAAATAATGGAAAGCAGTGTCTTCTTTATAAAGCAAGCAGTTTTTTCTTCACATTTTGGGGAGATATACGAAATATTGCAAGATTTTACTTTTGTCTTATCAGCTGCATCAGGGGTTCTATTTTCCTTTCTTGGCTCCTAGAAAGGGACTTTTTGCCCCCTTTTCTTTTTTAATAAAGCAAAAAAATTCAGATTCCTAAAGTTATCCGTGATCTATTTATCATATTCTTTCTGCTTCTGATTGAAGCTTTTATTCCAGTTGGCAATCTTTACATATCAACATGAACATAACTAAGTCATCTTTATACAAAGTCAGCATTTTTCTCAAGATAATGAAGAAAGCCACTCTTACTCCATTAAGTACATCTTTAAAACATTATAATACACAGCAAGTTATTTAAAAATGCACACAAAGATGTTACCTTTGTTTCTTCAATCCTCATTGCATCCAACAAATAGTGCAGAAGCTCCTGGCTGTCCTGTTGCTGGAACCCCTTAAATCGAGGAGCCCTACGAAAGAAGCAGAAGGAATTTTAAATTTACTTTGGTGGTTCTCAGTGAGACAACATCCACATTAGACTCCTGCTGGATGTCAGGGGTACAAATAGGTGCAATCCGTAAATGACATAATGGAGCTGAAGGAAGCTCCTGGTATGGTTGCATTCACACCACAAAGTCGGCACTTGAATCTGGGCAGTTATTTTGACCCTCCTGGGGTTGGTTTGACTGAAATACAGCTTTGTGTAGTGGCATCCATGCTGGCAGCACTATTGTCAGAGTATACCGGTACTTCTGTATCAGCAAACAGTCCCAGTATCCCAATGTCATGAAAGAGGGCAAAGAACATTTTCAAAGTGCTGAAACTCTCCTACTACCTCACCAACCCTCTCTATCACTAGAAAAAGAAATCTCAAATATGCATAAACAGTCTGTATACAGTAAAACTGAAACAACACTATCATCTGTACTGGAAAAAGAGTCTCTTGAAATGGAAAGCATGTCAGCAGCTGTGTATCAAACAAACAAACTTCAGGTCAGAATCCAGATATGACCTTCTCAACTTCTTAAACTAAAGTATTTACAACCATCTCTTCAGAATGGCTTCATGTTCAATCAGTCTATTGATCTGTAGCTTACTGAACTGAATGAACACTCAGCCAGTAAGATGGTAAATACACTAAAAAACAGTACCGTCACATAGCACGTGGATTTCCAATGCTATTAAGAAAAATTGTTATACCTCAGTTCATTTCTGAAATTTGTATTAAAACATACAGTACTACTAGAAGCAAAGAGAATGCAGCTTTGTATCCAAAGTCCATACAAAGCTTGGAACTGCTGAGACAATCTCTCCAAAGCTTTTTTGTTTGAGACAATACCTTTGAACATGGATTCCAAAAACTACCATGCCTGGAAAAACAGGTAAAAATTGCTTTATATAACATCTGATCTGGGGTTTTGGTTTTTTTTCTTTCTCCTTCAAAGCTGCCTAAGAGAACTGTATGCTTAACCGGTTTGGGGAAAACCGAATCAAAAAACAACAAAACCAAAACCAAAAAAGAAAAACAAACAAAAAACACCCCCGAGCCCTCTGGAGCCAGAGTCAGGTTCAAACATCTTGCTATGTTTCCTACCATGCTTAGTCTATTTTACTAATTTGAACAGGCAGGATGAAAAAGAAAATCCCAACCAGTGCTTTTTGCTCATGCTAATCATGTTTAAAAGACAAGGGACAGCAGGATCCATCCCATCAGAACTTTTAAACCCTCGGTAAAATCTCTCAGAGCCTAATTTCCCTGCTGCACCCATAAGCCTGGGGAGCACATCTGCCAGCACCAAGCCTCCCCGAATCGAAGTCCGCTGTGCCAGCAGGGCAGCCCCGGCAGGGATTTGCCTGGCTATCCCCAAAACGGCGGAGAGGGGCAAGCAGCACCACAGGCGGAGCATGGCAAGTGGCCGGCAGCAGAAAGCTATGAGATTCCTACACTCCGACTGCCCTGAGATTTTGTCTGTGAGGTGGGTGACGAGCACTTACTGTAAGCACTGTGTGCTTCAGCCCCCTTTCTTACAATGAAGGTGAATAAAGTAGTTTTTCTGAGATCTGCACCAGCTAAAAATACAATTAGAGCTGCCACTAGAAAAGATAATGCTTTTGTATAAATGAAAATATCACTCTTTTGGATGCGTGATGCCAAATGACTGCGTGAAATTCCTAGATTACAAGCCCACCCTGCTAGGCTTAAGCAATGGCCTGAGTTGTCAAAGACTGCAATAGCATTAAACACAGCCTACTTCCAGCAAACTTCTCATCTCTAGAAGTCAGAAGTCTTGAAGCAAAGGATCTGCATGCCTTAGAAAATACGTGTCTGGTGTTGCCCTTATTCTCTCACACTAGATCGTCCTTCGAACTGCCCTCCTTTAGCGTCTGGCAACAGCAGCAGAAGAGGCAAGCCAGCTTGCCAATCAACCCAAGGACACAAAAGGAACTCTGGCAGTTGTTGATTTTTTGCTTTTTACTAGACAGGACGAATGAAAACTGAAGAATCCACAGCAAATAAAATTTTTGTAAAAAGAGTATCAGCAGCAATAACGTGACCCTCCAACAAACAGAGGGGGAAAAAAATCTGCTTCAGATTGGGCTACTATTTTCCACCAATGATGTTTCAGTCAACCGCACACGGTTAATATTGCTTCCGCTTATAAAACAAGCGCTCAGTAGTCTAAATCACTGTTATTCAAAAAATGTAGGTTCCCTTTGCACTAGCCACAACACCTAAAATATATTCTAAATATCACATTTTGCAGGCATAGATTATACACAAATTATAATACACACATACAAATACGTGGCTAGATCCTTAGAGTGTTATTCTGTGTAACTAGGATAACCACAGTAGAAGGCTTCTCATAAATAATTTGGATCTCCAGCTTTTTGCAACCCCGAATGAGACTGTGTAGATGTTCACTTTTAACATACTTTTGTTTCACATTAAGTATAACTTACTGATCAAACCACGTATATCTTTCCAGACAAGTTACTCTGTAGATCTTAATTAAAGCCTTGGACCAGTTCATCTACACTGAGATTCGACGGCTTTTTTTGTGTGTCTACTAATGCCACCAAATGGCAGCTGTGACTCTCCCTGCACGCTGATAAGAGCGCATGCAGCCTGAGCCATGTGCACCTCTTCCAAAATCTAGCACAGGAGACAACTGGCTGAGCACAGCTCAAACAGGGATTTTATCAAACTGGCAGAGTGGCCAGAAAAACCAACCACTCAATTTTATTTAATGCATGTTGAGCCAGTTTTCATTTTCAGCCTCAGATTGCATGCTCTGACTAATCAGTGCATCGAGCTGTAAACATTTATCAGTGTTTTCTCAACACGCTGTAATCCAGCTTGCCCAACCAAGCTTTTTATCTGCGCTAGGATTCTTGAAGACGAGGTTTCTTTCCTACTCTCACACTAAAGCTAGTCAAGTTTGCTTCAGAAATTTTTGCTTATGGATATGAGATATTAAAGGCTGCCACAAAACGAAACATTGGACGTATGATGTGCATAAAATGGTGAAACTTAAAAGTTGGGCAAGATGTCAAGACTCCAAGTTTGGATCACAGTAGCCCTGGGTTACATGCAGTATACAAGGGTCTAAGCTTTGAACTCCTCTCTGGAGGTACTTCAATAAGTAACTGGAGAAGGACCCAAGCTGACTAGGCGTCTAAGGTCAGTGCCTAAAATTAAGTGGAATAAATTTGGACTTACATATGCAATGCAACACGTTCCCATTTTAAAAAATGATACATGACACATATGAAACAAATATAAAATGTGAAAATTTTCATTTTTTATCTATTTTTGATACAAAGTTGGCAACATCTATATAGTTAACAAATGTATTAATGATGCTGCTTTATTCTGAGGTTGCCTGTGACATCTGACATTAACAAAGCAGGTGAAATTTTTTTTTAGCATTCTTTTTAAACCAAATTTTTTTTTTGCATGAACAGGTCAACCTAAAAATTTCATTTCAAATTAAAAAAAAAAATCAACAAATTCAATCTTGAAGTGTTCCTCCTAAACAATGAAATATTTTAATACTATTAAAACGCCGTGTTTTGCATTGTGCTATTAAATTGAAATATTTTGTTTCCAATCATACTGATTACAATAACCAAATACTTGCACTAGACCTTTATTTTCAGGTCAAATAAAACACTCAACTTCTGTTAAAAAATTAAATAACACATTTACCTGCGTGCACATGTTTATAGGAACGTTCACGCACCTTTTCAATTTGCTAAAACAGTTTTCTCACCATTTCTGTAAATCAACAGCCAGGAAACGGCAAGAATTATTATTAGCTTACCCACATGCAGAAATAAGTTCAGTCCTGAGAAAATTAGTTAGCCACAGCATTATTATTTTTATTTATAGGAAATTTCTTGTTTTCCTGAGACATCGAGCAATATTGGGCATATTCAACATATATCCTCCAACACGCACACATTAATGACCCCGCTGCATAGTAAGTGAACAAAATTCTTGCATTTACACAGCACTGCATTCTTGTACTATCAGTATCCTAAAAGGAATCTTCTTTGCTGCAGAAGCAGGGTCACAGGATTGCAAGAGACATACAGTAAAAGGGAAGAAAAATGAACACCTACTTGACAAAGAAACCATCACAAATTCCATCAGTGTAGGTACGCCTCAGAGAGAATATTCAATGCATTTCAGAGAAAAGCCCCACACGTACCTTTTATTACTGTTTATGGTTTCCAGCGTAACCTCCCACTGATGAAAAACATATATTACTCACTTCAGATGAAAATTAATTTATGAAACTGTATTTTGGGGGAAAAGAGTTTACCTGGATGATTCCCACACCAATTTGATTGGCTTAAATAAAGAGGCGGAGGGGGAATGAAACCCAGCCATAGCAGTTTTCAGAGGCAGCACTAGTTTCTTTTAATATCTTATTAGCCTACAGTGCACCTACGAAGATAAGATTTAAATTTGTCTGTGCTTGCACTAAATCCTCATCCAACCTTACATAAACCAACTGAAAGTGCTTATTGCCACCTGCTTGAACTTTAGCGGAAATGATGATGATGATGGAAACGTAACAGGTACCACTTTAAAACTGAAGTGGCAGGGAAAGTGCCTGGGAAAGATGCTATGTAAGGTCTGAGCGTTTTATTCAGACTGACAAATGATGTCACTATTAACACTGTTTAATATCTGGATAATTGGTCATTCATGTCTACGGCATGCTATTTAATCCCGTATATAATTCTAAATAGCCGATGTTCCATGGAAAAACACTTCAGAATAGTGCATTTGTTTTCTGGGAGAAGTCACAAAAGAAGCAGCCAAACAGAAAAGGAGGGAGGGAGGGAAGTGTATACTACCCAATTTACTGGACATTTCTTACATTTATAAAATAGTATTTGGGGGGGAGGGCAAAGGAATTAATCCATGCTGATACGTAGGAATCTGACAACTAAA